CACCTATTTTAACCATTGAGAAAAACCTTGAAGACGATGCCAGTGCTGCAGATGAATTAATGAAAGAGCACTGATGGACCTGGAGAACTACATGCACACCGATAAATACGGTTTGCTTTTAAGTCAGAAGAGCAGGTGTCCTATAACAATTTTTTCTAAGGTTTTGGGAATCCTTCTCGCCATTCTCTGTTAGAGGATACAGGCTCAGAGGAAACCAATGAGATTTTACTTGGGATCAGGAGGTATTAACTCTGCCTTGCCTTCTGTAAGTAGTCTCTATTTCAATGCTAACCTTGGAGAACTGTGACCAAGCACCCCCTTCTAGGACAGCTCATTGAACTTATAAAAGCTGTCAGTTTATAAGCTCTTTTGTTCAAAATAATCACATCTTGAAATTTGGCCATATGTGCTTAAAACCTTCCCCTGGAGAAGCTGAACTTCTCCCATCTGTTGGTTTTTCTCAGGAAGAAAAAAAATCATGGGTCCCCATTAGGGAGGTGGCATTACTCCGCAAGTGGTGGTTCAGGACTCAAAAGTGAGAAGGCAGTTTGCCAAGAAGCAGGATGTGGTGGATGGCAAAATGTGTGTGTGTGTGTGTGTGTGTGTGTGTGTGTGTGTGTGTAGGTAAATGAATGGAATCTGCAAGGGAAAAGATGCAGCCATAACCTGGAAGGATTCAGGAAGCACAGCAAAGGCCTCGGCACCCTGCTGCCTCAGTCTTGGAAGTGAAGAAGTGAGCAGAGGACCCGAGAGCCCCTGTCATGGACCAGGTCCAGGACGGGTGCACTGGCTCCATCAGCACTGAGGTCTGGGCAGCATGCAACACCTCAGCCCCAGGCACTGCCAGGAGTCGGGGTGGTCAAGATCAAAGAAGCCCCTATTTATGAGAATTTGATCTCAGATACAGGATATGGGAGGAGTAAAGCCATGGGCAAAAGGTTTGTCTGTCCCTGCTTTTTACCCCTGGGATTTCCTTTCTGAATTTCCTGGATCCTCTCTTCTGATGCAAGGACCAACCACTGGTCTAGCAACATTTTAGTGGCTACTTCCTTGGCCCGGTTACAAAATCTGTGTCCTGGGGAAACGACCTGGGCAAAGAGAAGGGAAAACATGTTAGACATACTTGAGCGGATGGATTTAGCAAAGAACAAGTTTCCCTTCTTTAATCTTCAAATTGTTACTGAGAAATACAGTGATTTCCCTTAAGATAATTTTTAACGTTGTCATTGTTTCATTGAAAGGTTTCTTTTTTTTTAAATAATCTTCACAAAGATTTTTGGATGCAAAAAATAGTTACCATCCAATCTTAAATATTTCAGCAGTCTACTATTCACTTGCGTCACTGGCCATTTTTCAAGGACCCTCCATCCCCCTTTGGTGACCTGTTTTCTTGTCATCTATTCAGCATCCACTAATCGCGCTAACCATGCGTAACCATTCTTCCGCAACTCCACTCCCATCCACTCACCACCCCTCCAATACAAACACACACACACACACACACACACACACACACACACAACCCCCCCACCCCCGCACTGGCACAAGAATTGCACGTGCGTCACACAACTCCCGCGAGACCTTATGCTTATTTTCACCTTCGATCTTTCTACAAGTACAC